ATCATGACCAAACTGTACAAGGTGACCTGCAGCATGACCTTAAAGGTGGCCGTAAACAATATGCAAAACACCGAACGCTGAGTCGCGCTATGTTCAGGACCTGACCCATTTTAGCACCGGTCAATGTCCGGTCACTGACCTCTAACTCTATGGTAAACAATCGGATGATTCTCTTAGTTAGAACTGATGTAAACATGACTCAAAGGTGGGTGCTTCCTTCTGACGAAACCACTGAATCAGGAATTATAGCTGAATAACATAACCGGAATTTTCTGCAAAACGCGGATCGTGAGGAGTAGCACAGAAAATAAATAACACGAATTTTCTACCGCTTCCGTCATTAAACTGGTCATAAATCTCAAGAAAATAACAAATCAATACAACTGCACAAAGACAGTATATGGGAACAAATGTAGCTCCATAAATATTTAATTTTGAATACTGTAAGTTGGATTGTAATCCATGTAGTTCACAGCGAAACTTTGTATTTAGCTAAACATACCTAAAAAGCATAACATCTTTCCGCTTTTATCATTTTTCAACAGTTACAGGTGATATACTACAGAATTTTGTTTGTATATAGAAGGCCCTGCAGCTTCGGTCGATCAATGCTAGTCGAAATGGGAACCGAGAGGTCCCAACCTCGAGCCCTGAGCGAGTCACTCCCTCATTTTCGATTCTCACCGCTCTGTGTGAAGGAAACAACCGACCGTGTGCCATGCTCACAACAGAGATATAGATTCTGAATTTAAAAGAAGTAACTCCCAGCAGCTGATATAGAAAAATAGTTCAGGAACTCTAGAAAATGAGGGTCACACAGATGGCCACAAATAACGAAAGTGTAAACGAGGTCTAAATGCTTTTCTTTCCGTTTTTTCTTGATGTTCGTAGGGCCAAATCAACTTGTCAGCGGATAGTCTAATGTCGTGCTTATGGAGAAAAAGGAGGAAAGAGAGGGGGTGTGCGGTGGCACTGACTGTTTAGTAGTTTGCTTTGTGCTGTAGTGA